GGGAAGGATGATGAAAGTCGAAGTCGAGAAGATGAATGGGGAAATAAGAAAGTTTTCTTTTTCTGCAACAATGACAACCAAACAAACAACAAAAACAACAGTAGGAATAACAACAGCAGCAGCCACAACACAACCACCACCAACAACAATTGCGATAACTATAGCAACAACAAAGAAATAATAAAACAAAACAACAACAATCAAACAACAACAACAACAACAACAACTAATTCAACAACTGCAACAGCAGCCTCTTTAGATATCATAATCTGCCACAGTTTGTAACTAATGTCTAAAAGACGAACATCAGTCGAAGCAAGAACACACGTATTAACACCGTCTCAGCATAGTCATAAAAGGCAGAAAATGTATCAACTGCAACAACAGTAGCAGCACCAAAAACAGCAACAGCAATGCGAACGGTGACATAATCACCAACACCAGCACCAACAGCGTAAGCGCCATTTGTGGTATGTTTCGTCAGTGATATTCTCACAATCAGCACATCAGCAAGACAACAATGATAACCCCTGCAAAGCGTCATAAGCCTCTAAATATCATCATCATCATCATCATCATCATCATCATCATCATCATCATCATCATCATCATCATCATCATCATCATCATCATCGGAGGCATCAGCATCAACGGCAGCAACAGAAACAGCAGCAGCAGCAGCAGCAGCAGTAAGAGCAGTAGCAGCAATACCACCACCACCTTTATCCCCACCACCACAACGACAACTACCATCCCCACCAACACTAAAACAACACCCTCGTAAATAACAACTCCAACAATAACATCATAATCAGCTACAGTGGAAACGACTAATAATGCACCCGCTGTTATAACAGGCCTTTCTGAATGTGGCAAATCGCCGTTGTCTCAATCATTACTTTCTTCCTCTGGCCATTTCATCAGACATATAAATAAAAACTTCGAGCCATTCAGAGGTTTACCAAAACGCAAAAAAAAAAAAATGTCGCCTATCCAGGCTTATCTTGAATGACCCTCACCTTACCATGGACATGTGCAAACTGTTGGGGAACATAACATCTGTCTTCCACAGATGGCACGTCTTTCAGTCGCTTATTAACACTACAGATCGATCGCACTGTGCTGGGGGCACACAGGGTTTTCAGTCTAGACACCATTCATAGAACCTTCCCTGTTCCCTTTGTCAAGTTCTAATATCTTGTGCAATATAATGCAATCCATTCACCTCGTATCTCAGAGTGGATGCGTTTAAGAGATGTGCTGAATCGCTTTTCTTATAAATGGCATTCCACAATCTGCTTCACTAGATCTATTTATTTTTTCTAAGGCTGACAAGCGCTTCACAGAGAGCTAATATGGATTTTTGCATATTAAAAAAAAATACAGGTTTGCTAGTTGCGTGTCGTGGATTTTTTTTTTCCGTAACAAATTAAGTTTTTCCGTTTAAAGTTCCGAAAATCTTTAAACGAATTAAAAATTCTATCTCATCTGGAGTTGGGTGGGGACTCAAAAACACCCCCTCCACCTTTGATATCCCCTTGTCCTATCCAGGCTTGACTACGGCTTTCAAGTCTTTGGATAAGCAATACCTCCCATCGTAAAAATGCTAGACCCCTTTCAAAAACGAAGGCTTCCGTTTCGTCTTTGGGGCTTGCGCACTTCTCCAATGGAGAGCCTCCAGGCCAACCTACCATCCCTGAAGCTCAGACAAAAACAGCCGTCACTGCACTACGCCACAAAACAGAGCTCCCTTCGTGGCACCTCACCAAGGCAAACATTAACTTAGACCTCACCACGCACAACTGATCGTGCACAGACACACAATTGTTATTATAGCTTTAAATCAGACACAACTGGCGGGCAGTGCCTGTCCACTAACATAACAACACTTAACAGAGGCCTCCAATTTTTTTTTCTGCGGGGACCACTGCCATTGACATGGTACATATTTTCGTGAATCATCCTTTCTTATTCTATCCGATTCCTTGTCTTGCCTAACTTCACTCAACAGTCTCACACTTTTAAACCCGAAAATAGTTGAATTGCAGTTGATGATTCATCTTGACTGAATATGGGAAAGATATCGTGCTTGCATAGCTGCATAGCCATGGATTCATCTTGGGAAACGATCAGGTCGATTTTCTGGCGAAGGAATCATTGTCCCTGCTGTTGATATCAATGGAGAGCTCCTTCCCACAGCCAGACTTTAGTAATACATGTACAGTAAAACAACCACACCTCCAGTCCATAGGAGGAACACTGGACTGAATAAATAATTCATAAACTTCACAATGCATTGGTCCCTGAATATGCCTGTCTCTCTCTGTGTCTCTCTCTGTGTCTCTGTCGCTCTGTCGCTCTGTCTCTGTCTGTCTGTCTGCCTGTCTGTCTGCCTGTCTGTCTGCCTGTCTGTCTGTCTGTCTGTCTGTCTGTCTGTCTGTCTGTCTGTCTGTCTGTCTGTCTCTCTCAAGAAGAAGAACAACAACAGCAATAAAACAACAACAACACTAACAAAAACAACAACAACAACAAGAACATAAACAGCACCAACAACACTAACAACAACAACAACATAAACACCACCACCACCACCACCAACCACAACTTCACTGCTCCTCCTTCCCCAGCACCTTCACGGCATCCGCCTGGTCTCTGACTCCCTGCACAAGTTCTACCTCTTCAACCTGTGGAACGTCCTCTTTGTCAGCGTCGAGACGCCGGAACTACGTCACGTGACTATCGACCCAGGAATGGAGTCCATGGAACACCTGGAACTTTTCGCGCCCAAATTGAAACGAGCCTGTGTCAACGGCAGCAATGTGCTCAGAACGTTGGCCATAAAAGTAAGAAGTTAACAACGCTAGGTCAAAAATCAAATATTTGTCAGGGAACCAAGCTCACATTTACGTTTCAGTATACTAACTATATTATACTTTAACAGCACATTCGTTGATACTTCGTCGGACAGCTATCCATACGTACTATGCCCAGAATTTTATTGTGTTAATTAATGTTTAAAAAAATATGTTTTAAAAGATAGATTTCAGTTTATCAATCTGTGGTATAGATTGTATGTGCTCGAAAACTATTTTGTCGAAATTCAAATTCTAAATGTTAATAAAACTTAATAAAAGATGTACATAAAGAAGATGTACATAAAGTAATTTTTAAAAGGAATTAAACATTTTTTGACTTTCCCCCAGGGTTTTCACAATTGAACAGCTGGCTTGCTGACGACAGGCCACTACATTTATCTTCTGTCTGTCTGTCTGTCTGTCTGTCTGTCTGTCTGTCTGTCTGTCTGTCTGTCTGTCTGTCTGTCTGTCTGTCAGTCTGTCTGCCTGTCTGTCTCTGAGTGTTTCTGTCCACTTAGTTCTGCCTTGCCCCACCATTCATGGACTGTCATCTTGTCCAGGTGCAATTCTCTTTCGACACATCTCTTCATAACCTACTTCCCTAAATGTCATTGTATAAACGACTTCCCCCTGCCCCTATGACCCTATTAACTATTTTCCTGTGAGCTATATGACCACATAACACACTGCTTCCACGAACCTATTAGTATAAGCTATTTCCCTCTGACCTCCACAATCCTATAACTGATGTCCTTCTAATCTCCACAACCCTATAACTAATGTCCTCCACAACCCTATGTCCTATTTCCCTCTAACCTCCACGACCCTATATAACCTACTTCCCTCTGACCTCCACGATCCCTTAACCTTTCCCCCCTCATCTGTAGAGCGACAAACTGAACTTCCTGGAGCTGTCTAACTGCGAGGTGCTGGACATGAGGTGTCTCCGCGATGTCTTGCGGCGAAACTCCGGCCTTCTGTGTCTCCGAGTGGGCTGTGTGAGCCAGGACAGCCTGTTGCTGGATGAGGAAGTTATTCCCAGTTTGCAGGTGAGAGGGTGAGGGGTGAGAGGGTGAGATGGTGAGAGGATGAGAGGATGAGGAGGTTGTTCCCAGTCTGCAGATGAGAGGGTGAGATGGTGAGAGGGTGAAGGGGTGAGATGGTGAGAGGGTGAGGGTGTGCGGGGTGAGATGGTGAGAGGGTGAGAGATTGAGAGGAGGAGATGGTGAGAGGTTGAGAGGATGAGGGGGTGAGAGGTTGAGAGTGTGAGAAAGCTGAGACAGAGAGAGGGTGAGAGGGTGTGAAGGTGAGAGGGTAGGAGGGTGAGAAGTTAGAGGGTGGGAGGTTGAGAAGTTGAAAGCGCGAGAGGATGAAAAGGTGACGAGGTGAGAGGCTAAAAAATTGACGGGGTGAGAGCGTGAGAGGGTGAGATGCTGAGACATGTCTTTTTAAAAGTTGTTTTGTTCAGTCAAAATGCCCTGAAGAAGGAAGCGTCTCCTCATAATCCTCTCTCCATCAGGCTCTCTCTCTCTCTCTCTCTCTCTCTCTCTCTCTCTCT